ATTAGTGGTATTAAAATTTAAAAGGCGAAAAATCTTATTGTGCCAGATAACTGAGAGAAGCACTCAAAGGAAACACTGTCATGTTTGGAAAAGCTATCGATTAACAACCAATCGAAGGTATTCGTAAATCTAGAGTGTTGAATGCCTTTAATTGGAGCCAGCGAGCAATATAAAAACAGGTTGGTATTTTATTCAATTTTATTTATGCGTTTATATCTTTATATTTCACGATGAAATGCACTCTTAAACTCTTTGGATTATAAAGAAGACAGCTTTTTGCTGGGGTTTTTTTTGCAACATGTGTATTTCACAATTTGGTTGCTGAAACTACAAATTTTTGTTATTTATAAATTACTTTATAAAGTGCTATTAACTCCAGGTTTTGTGTAATATGATTATGTGCCAACTTAAAACTTTGCATACAAGGCTATTAAATCAATGACAAGACTTTTGGAGCATTCAAATATTTCCCAAAATACCTGTAAATAACAAAATATACCCCCCCGTAACTAAATGTTGCTGTATGATGAAAAGACGTTACATTGGTCATTAACAACACATTGTTTGGGGGCACAGGGTTGTAGGGATAATATAGAAGCTCAGGTGGCACATAACTCCTATCATAGCCTTAATTAAACAATTTGAAAAACCAGAAATACTGTATCAATGCACTGGGGCCAATCTGGCAATTACTTCTAACTATGTTCTGACAATCCTTGCACTCATAGTCCTTGAAATGATAAGGTAATTTCTACCTTGTATCATGGCCAACGTTTAGGGCCACTTTCGGTGCCTTAGCAAGCTTGATAATTGGGGGAGCCTCATATTCATATATTATATTCGTGTTCTGCGTTATTAATTTCTTTTGAAATTGATTGTTTTTATGGACTGTGAATATGAATATATGAATATGAGGCCCCCCCTTATCGAACTTGCTACGGCACTGACTTTTGATTGTTATACCATTAAGTCTGATAATTGCACCACCAATGGTTCTGGTATCTCTTGTTTTTCCCATTATCATTTCTGTACTCAACTTTACAACATATAATATATTCTTGTTTATTCCAGAATTATCTTACAATTGGGACACCATTGATCACACGTAATTGGGAATTTGTCCTGACTCACCCTGCTTTCCCAATTAAGCCCTAGAGTGACAGCACTCTCCCTTGATGAGTAAATTGTCTGGTGTTAGACAGAGTAAAATAATAATGTAGGGCATATCAGGGTGCATTGCCACTTAAAGGGTTAATCTTGATCTGGGTGGCAAAAATACTGCAGTACCAGGCAAGATGTACATGGAAATTGAAGACACAAAAGCTGGATTAATTTTGAACCATTTTAATTGGACTTCTTCAATGGAATTATTAACAGTGAATAATTTTAAATTAATCTAAAACTAAAATGTATTATAATTACAGTTAATGTACATGATGTAGTGGAGCATGTCTATTATATTAACTTAATAAGGCTTTATACCTAACAAATATAAAACATTTTTTCCGTATTGATATATAGTTATATCAACACTCGTGGAAGTTGGGAAAACTCGAAATTGTATGAAAACACTCCGCCCTTTGGGTGTCATGTTTCCATACAATTTCTCGTTTACCCAATTTCCACTCATATTGATATAACTGTATATCAACACGGAAAAAATGTTTTATATTTTTTTTATAATATTATAGCAATGTCAAAAGCCTGAAGGATAAGAAAAATTTCCGTGTTTACAAGCGGCGGAATATTTCCCGTGTTGACATTGAGTTATATCAACACGGCTCTTAGCCAATCAGCGTTCAAAATTTACAAATGCTATATTATACTTTCATATGTTATCTGCATGGTGGGGAGTGGGTGGTTGTGCAGAAAAATTTAGGGGGGGGAGGGGAGTGAGGGGCATGTAGCCACAGAATAGGCACACAGAAGGTCGACTCGAGTAACCACTGCCACACCATGATTCATCATCAAAATGCTGACGCCATGGTCCTAGCCAGTGCGCATTTAAGAGGCATTCCCCCCTGGACGTTCGCAATTTTGCATAATATCAGGGGGTGAATGCCTCTCAAACGCGCACTGGCTAGGACCATGGCGTTAGCATTTGATGACGAATTACAGGTTACGCCTAAATCATAGGAAAACCCGAGAAGTCGGCTTTCTGTGTACCTTATTCTGTGACGTAGCATCCTGAGGAAGATGAACCAAAACACAATATACCAGACAAATATAAAAATATTATGTCATTTGTAATACAATATTATGAATTGGATTGATCATGTATTACATATGCACATCAGGCTTTACACATGTAAAAAGAATATATTTGTTTATGTTCGCTCAACACCCTTTTATGGCTGTCAAAGCTCTTGAAAGGTGGCTTTTTACACTAAGATCATCAGTAACAACATCCTCTTGTTTAAGTCTCCACCCATCTGCTTTGATGCATATAGTCTTTAAAGAGCCCTGAAGATCTCCAGGAACAAATGTGCCAACATCACCGCACATTCAAACAAGTGACTTATTAAAAATACAAGTTCCAACCTTGAACAACTTTCCTGCATTTAGTTCTTGCCTTCTTGGTAATCCCGGACTCTTAGAATCTGGTGTTAGGTCGTGTTTGACGTCAAATGGCAGTAACTTTCTCGCTTTAGGAGTTCTAGGAGTGCTGGTCTTAGGAAATTCATCTGAATTTATGGAATTGAAGTCTATAGTTCAGAACGACAAAAATTACAACTTGAAACAAGGCAACATGGCGCTAATCAGCCGAGCGTATAATGAATTCCAGTTTCTTAATTTCTTTAGTATACGCAAATTTATGCTACGGCTCAAAGGGTCAACAAATTCAAGACATTCAAGTGGTAGAATGTATTATATTATCTTTTAAATTCACCACTTTTAGAGTCACCGTCATTTTGAAGTACTCCAGACTTGACCAATTGAAGGCCAATATACTTGATAAAAATACGCACTTTGCAGAGACTACATCATAAAATGATCGATTTATGTATATCAATGTCAAAAAATCCAAAATTGAAGCATAAAATGTTAGTTTGCAAGAAAAACAATTTCTTGCAAGAAAAATCACAGTAATCTGCCATTCGCTAAATTTTCTTCTTTCGCCCTTGCCGTGAGCCTATACGCGCCCACTTCTGGCCGCGCGCCCGCTCTTAAAGCGACTGAGGACGAGTCTGATGACGCAGCCAATTCGACAGCTTGGACTAAAGGCCGTTTTCCAATACAATTAATCGCTTTAATTGCCCGCGAGGGACAAACAAACATTTGCATGCCCATGCAGTTAACTTTAACAGTTTATTCTTGGTCACCTCGCCAGCACGACATGACAGTCGAATTTACATTCGATTTTGCGCAAATATAATTAAAGAACAACTCTTTCGCCCCGCACGGTCAAGCACGGACTTTATTTTGTATTGGAAACGTTTTGCGTCAACATTTTGCCAATTTTTAATTGATTAGGAGAGGTGCTTCTTCTTCTCTGCGGTGTATGGCTGTGTCTTCGCGTCCGCAAAACTCCGTCAGCTTATAACGAAAGTAAATACATTGCGTGGTGTATCTATAACACAGTGTTTGTCAAGATCCTTGTTGGCGTGCTGAGGTTGGTTATTATATAGCTACCTTAAATTTGCATATTGCTTTCTTCATTACTCGCTAATAAGCCGTTATGGTTGCTATCTAAATATCTCATATCTTATGAAATAAAAAAGATTAAATTGTTAATTTTTAATGTTAATGATTCAGACATCAACTAGACACGCAAAATGTCACATTTTGTCGGCAAAATGTGTTCGCAACACCCAGGTATATAGGAAGCTTAATTTGCCAACAAGTTGCATATATTTGTTGGTTTATCAAATTAATAAATTATTACAAGATCGTCACCCATAACTAGTTACTAAGTCGTTTAATTAGACTTTCTTACAATGAAGAATATTCGCCATTTTTGGGTGGCATCTAATTCTCGTTAAACTGCAGATAATTTTTCAAAATAAACTCATAATTATTTGCAAAGCAAATTTACCATCATTCGTCCAAAAGATTATAAAAACTCGCTGTTATGTGGACTTGTCCGGCAGACTTCGGCTAAAAAGCAACCCAAAAATAGCGCGTCAGAAAGGCTAATTGCATGTGTTGAGTCAACAACGTTTTTACTAGTGGAAACACATCATAGCATGGGTGCCAGATGTTGGTATCCACGGTAACGCAGTTACCGTGGATACCAAAGGTAACGGCAATCCATGCATACTGGTCACACTGGCATATTGGAAATTCTCCAGTTGACCTTTTGCAAATTTTATACTTGCTGTAGTCAGAATTACGTGATTTTCGCCAGTAACGTAGTTAATACCTGTAGATGTTTTCTAATATAAAATCTCATTCATGATCAAGGATTCAGTGATGCCAACATTGCTTTTCTGAGACCTAAATATTACCAGACCCATGTACCTCACCTCGCTCACAATGTATACGCGGTTAATTGCAAATTAAAGTTTTGGCGACCTCTTATCAGGATGCATTCCTGTATACTTAATACTTTTTGCAAAAAATATTTAGTATACAGGCATGCATCCTGATAAGAGTTCGTTGAAACAACATCGGTGCATATTTTCTGAAGGTTTGTTGCTGCCCTTATACGGATGTCCCGACATATATCAATCTCATATATTCTCTTTAGAAAATCTGTATAAAACGGACATCTCTTTAACGATTGTAAATTTCAATATTAATTAACATGTACAGCATAATCAAACAAAAATAACCTTCGGAATATAGTGGATATAGCTCTGTAAATTCTGTCCGAATAGTATTCTCTGGTCCAACGGACGCTATAATATAATCAGATAATTGCATATTGCACATGCACTCTAACACTTTGCCACAAAAAGATGCTTATAAGTCCTAAAACTGCATGGAAAACGCTGTGGACGCACAGCCAGTTTTATAGTGATGAATTCGCAGTCTACAATCTCCTTATTTTCTTTCAGAATTGTCTTGGACAATTTTCGCAACCCAGATGTGTCGTACGTTGTGGATTTTCTCTCTACTCATGTTGTTGCAACAATTTTGCTCGCTTTGCTATTTTTATCTAAGGTACAGTATATGACTATCCTTTAGTACATGATAATTTATAACAACTAATTTATAATCAATAAAAATAAATTATAAAATAATAAATATAATAGTGAAACATCACTACATCAGCGCACGAAGAAAACATCCTCACGAAAATATAAATTAAATTATTGTTCGCAGAAAAAGTCGCAATGAAAACAATTAAACTTGAAGTAAAAAAGAACTTACCTTTTCGCACAAAATATCCATATCAAATGCGAAGTAACTTGGTCTCAAATGCTTATAGCTATACAAAACACTGTGAGCGTCCATTTTCCTGACGATATGTTTGATACTTTCGATGGCCGAAACGTTTTTTCTTTTCATTTAGCTATATTTGAATTGATGCCAGGAGCTGGTTTCAAAAAATTACAGTTCAAAATCAAGCTATTTTTACATATTTTCAAAATTCGTCAAATTTCGCCAGCTTGTATTTTCAACCTAGACAGCTGAAATTACATTAAGAAACATAAGATGGAAAATTTGAGGCATATAAAATTAATTTCAACATACATTTCATTCTTAGTTTATTTTGGTTTTAAGCAAGCCAAATAGGTTGATGTATACGGTATTTGCTACGTCGCCATATTCTCTTCTTCCAATCACTCGATTAGAAAAAAAAATCATTCCAAAAGAAGGAGGTTATGATAATGATCGATTTTTAAAGAATAACCATCTTAGTAATTAGTAATTAGTAAATCGTTTCAATGGAATGCAAAATATCGTCAGCTAAAACAGCTTCTTGCTAACTTTCTGCTTTGTTTTGAATCAAATAAATGCAATTAATAGAGCGTTGTTTCTGCCCGCGATTTTTTGGTCAGCGCAGGCAAATTTCCCACCTGTTCGGTCTTTTATGATAGTCCAGATAATTTCATGTTGCCAGATGTCTATATGAAGATGCTTTGTGATTGCTTTGTTACAACGACAAAAGGCAATAGACTATAGTGACCATCTTTCTAAAAAACGAGTGACAAAAACTGAACATTATTTTTTTGTTTCGGAAAACCTAGAACGCGATCATATACAACAACAAAACACATTCATTACGTTGTCAGTTGAGCCGAGTTAAGTTTCTGTAAACAATTTTCGACAAACATAAAACGATGACAAAATAGCTGCAGACATTATTATTTTACAAACAAAAATAAAATCAGAGCAAATTTTAGTCCATCTTCAATTTGGTTCCATTCAGGGAAAAGTGTTAAATATTATTCTATCAGCATTTTCAGTGCAAACAAAGGTAATTTATACATGTAAGCAATATTTTCACACAGATTAGAGTAGAATATTGTGTTATTTTATATAAAAAAAGTTACCAAGTTTAGATATTCATTGAGCCAACGGCGCAGATCGCCGTTCTGGGCGTAATCCCTGGGCGAAGGAAGTAATTCAAAGTTGTCTCCCATTTTGTTTATGTCATGGACAGTTTTCGAAGCTCTGCGCATACGTGAGCACAAGTTGAGCTGCTGTGCCTAAATTTATTGTTTTTCATTTTGAAAGGACGACGTATTTTGTTGTTTACAGCGATTGTTTTGTTTTAAATTTCGTAAAAAATTTCGAAATGAGCCTGCAATTTCATAAATTATTGGCTGGTCAACCGTGAAGCAAAGTTTGTAACAATTGGGGTTGCTGCATACTATACAATTACTTTATCGTTTACGTGTTTGGATGGTCTGATCCAAACACGCGGGAATGTTGTTCGAGTTGAGAAATGCGCGCGAAACACGAGCGGAAGGCGAGTGATTTTGCCTGCTTTTCTTAACTCGAGCAACATTCCCAAATGTTTGGATCAGGCCATCCAAACACGGAAACCATAAAGTAATTGTTTTATAAAATAACAACTTTCCTGATCCAAACACGGGTTTCGACCAATCAGGGCACGCGTTATATACATATTATTTTATAAATGTATTTTCTAGTTATATAAACAAGCTTTCGTTGCTAGGGACATGCAACTGCGTGAAAAATATAAGGATAATTTTGAAATTCTTCTTATATTTTTCATGTAGTTGGATCGCTACCAACGAAAGCTTGTTAATATTATTGGCACAACCGACACTGGCACAGGCAATTCCGATATGTATATAATCTTTTTTATTGGGTAACTATCCAAAAGAGCGATGTACGATTTCTTCGATCGCAAGGTGTCCATCTAAGGGTTTATTCTATGAGATCAGTTAACGTTTCGTACTACAGGTCACGACCGCTCAAGAACTATTCAAATGTTGCATTTTGCGGATTCCCCTCCCCTCCCCCCGCCCCACCTTGGCATATAGTAATAGGTTGATACTAACGCATTATTTCTTTTGCTCTTTAGATTTACCTTATCCGGAAATACAAGAATTATACGCAAAGAAACGATGGTGCAAGCTCAGCAACTGCTATTACGTTGACAGACCTGCGCCAATCACCATTTCATTTGAATCCGCCAGTTCATTTGAAGCGTGAGACTCAGGTTGAAACGACCGTGTTGCGACTAAAAGCTAAAAATTTTCAACTGGAGGTGAGTGGCACTGACTTGACACCTAAATTTGCAATACGAATGGTTCAGAATCAAGTCGAACATTTCTACTCACTAGACGACTAACCTTACAGCAGTTCCAGAAAATGCCTGTCACACAATGCTACGGTTAACACAGCCGACATTTCTAAAACTCGGGTCCGAATTTCATTAAGTTGCCGAGCTAGGTATCTTGTTATTACCCCGAATATTTCCTTTAAATTCAACTATATATTCGCCAAACATGCATTCATAACAACAAACTAATTATCGCTTTAATTGTCGTTACAGTATAGAAAATTCCTCAAACAATTCGTAGTTTAAAGAAAAAAGTTTAAAAAGACCCAAAAACGTCCGGCAGGAAATTCACAGAACTCTTCAGCTTTTGCACGTTTGTGCCAGTTCATTTATCAGCATGACAAGAGCGCTTTGCATCGTCGTCTCTGTAAGCGTCCTGACTCTCACAAACACGATAACCGCCTTCTATGGATAATCTATAAGGCCCATTTTCATATAAAGTAAGATGTGACTAAACCAGAACAGGATGGCCCCTAATTGACCATCATGGAGTCAGTTTAAGCGGAAAGTAGAGAACAATTCAGTGTGTAAAGGATAATAGGTAACCCTCCCACCCCCCACCCCCATCCACCACCGGAAATGATTCAAGCGAATGACGTCAACAGGGGGTGTAAGTCCTGGCGTTCGTACTTAGTGTACGTACTTAGCGTGCGTCCAAGCGTTCGTCCAAGAGTTCGTACTTAGTGTACGTCCAGTTTAGTAAGCATTATGTAATTGTATTGCACATGTCCTGACCAAGTATGCGTTCTTCAAGGTCGAATAATGTTGACGAAGTTTCGCCTATGGAATTTCGGAAGCTATGCAATTTGTTAGAGACAATATTTGCACAAACTGTTTCTTGCGAGGTTTATGAGCTTTTCGAAGAGAGGTGCTGTGGTTGTATCGCCTTGGGGGATGAGGAAGAAACCCCTTCATCGTAATTATTCATCCTAGCTCTTTTTGATCTGTGCATAATGATGTAGTCTTCTTCATCTGCGCAAGACGACATGGCGTCACTCAGATAAATACGTCTTTCTTCACTTGATAGATGGTGAATGTCTGCCAAATGATTTGATAATTTGCAAAGGTTTCTCTTTCCGCACAGCAGACAGTCTTTACGGGTTCGCGGCATCGAGCGAAATGATTCCTCTTGTCAAACGGGACGCAGGGACATTGCTACGGGACGCCCGGGACTTGATTGCTGGACACTTGAGTGTGTCCCTATGTGCGGGACGCAGGGACATTGCTACGGGACGCCCGGGACTTGCTTGTGGGACACTTTGAGAGGTGTCCCTATATGCGGGACGCACGGGACATCCCTACGGGACACATTTAACGTGTCCTTGCGTTCCGTAAGACTGTTCTTATGGCTAGACCCATACACGAATTCAAAGGGTATAACTTCTTCCTGGGTTACATAATTCATTATTCGAAGCTCGCAGTTTGACATAAGTATAGCGTAAGGATTAAACCAGATTAGTATGACTAAATACTTCAACGTCACTAACATACTGTAATTATTTAAATCAGTGTGGACATACATTTGCAAACGGAAATGGATTTAAAGTTATCGAAGCTGTCAAATCGTTTACATCACTTAAAACGAAATCAAACGCCATGAAGACATTAGTCTATTTACCAGTTACAGGATGTCTTTTCATTATAACACTACGCATCAGTTGCTTCAGTATCCGATCTTGAAGTCAACACTGTCTGCTCGTTTGACTCTGTTATTGTTGACGGTAAATTTTCTGGGAGAACCAATCGCTTTTCAATGGGTCCATAATTCTTAATTGTCTTGCTATTGTACCCCATTTGAAAATGGCTCTCCAGATTTAAATCATTACGACCAAAGCTAATGCCGAATCTGAACATTTTCTGTCTATTATGATCCTTGTTTCTATTGACTTTATCATTCTTACTGTAGCAAGTGCCCATGGTTAAAATAGATACTGATACTGCAAGCGACAGCATGGAATAAAGAAAAACACAACAACACAATACGTTTTAAAATGATATATTTCTTAATTAAATGCATTATATGGTTGAATTGTATTTTAATTTACAAACACAGCTAATGTATAGTCCATGAGATTGTTTAGAGAAACAGTTCTTTCGAACTCAGAATATATTTGATGCATTTCCGTTTGCAAATGTATGTCCACACTGATTTAAATAATTACAGTATGTTAGTGACGTTGAAGTATTTAGTCATACTAATCTGGTTTAATCCTTACGCTATACTTATGTCAAACTGCGAGCTTCGAATAATGAATTATGCAACCCAGGAAGAAGTTATACCCTTTGAATTCGTGTATGGGTTTAGCCATAAGAACAGTCTTACGGAACGCAAGGACACGTTAAAATGTGTCCCGTAGGGATGTCCCGTGCGTCCCGCATATAGGGAAACCTCTCAAAGTGTCCCGCAAGCAAGTCCCGGGCGTCCCGTAGAAATGTCCCTGCGTCCCGCATATAGGGACACACTCAAGTGTCCCGCATTCAAGTCCCGGGGGGGCCCGTAGCAATGTCCCTGCGTCCCGTTTGACAAGAGGAATCATTTCGCTCGATGCCGCGAACGCGTAAAGACTGTCTGCTGTTCGGAAAGAGAAACCTTTGCAAATTATCAAATCATTTGGCAAACATTCACTATCTATCAAGTGAAGAAAGACGTATTTATCTGAGTGACGCCATGTCATCTTGCGCAGATGAAGAAGACTACAGCATTATGCACAGATAAAAAAGAGCTAGGATGAATAATTACGATGAAGGGGTTTCTTCCTCATCCCAAAACGGCGATATTTTCGATAGTGGTGACGAGAAAGAACATAGCAGTGAAGAAGAGAGCAACAGCGTAGAGAATGAGAACAGCGAGGAAGATGACAGCAAAGAGGAAAGCGAAGAACATGAATCCAGCGAAGACGGAGAGGACTACGATCCCTGGCAAACGTTGATACACGAAGCAAAACTGCAACTTTTGGATAAATTTCAAGAAAAAGTTGAATGCCTTAATAATGAGGGTTTTAGTGATGTTGAAGCTAAGAGGCAATCGTTTTCAGAACTTCTTCCCAAACTCACAAAAGAACTAGAAGATATTTATGTAGAACGGCTGCTATGGATGTCACACATGAGAAAAGATCCAATTCGCAAGAAGATCATGCAGACAAGAGATAATTTGATTGACGTAGGATTCCTCGACCGGGAAGAAGCTTTATATTCCGCAGTCGAAAAGAGAAAGTTTCTTTTCGAACGTCTTTTAGAAAAACGACAACATTATTCAGACGATGAAGCGATACTATCGAATAAATTGTTGTACTGCTATACTTTAAAAATAAATTTCATCAATCCTATTTGTTTGTCTGTTATATTTGTTATAGTATTCATCACACTGAATCGTATCCGACATGCAGAGAACCCCCAGGGAACTCCGAGGGAACCCCGAGAGAAGCCCTACAGAACCCCGAGAGAGGTTGACTACATGCATCAATTAACACATGCCACATGGATTAACCTTTGTACCGACGCGACAGTTATATCGCACGCAAAAAAAACACAAGTTAGTGTTTTAAACTATCTAATTCAGGCATAAACTAATACACAAAATTATGCTTTAAACAATTTATTTCTCAAAGCAACAGCCATACAGCAACAAACAAATGTATAAAGCTATACACAATAATTTTATATTAAACGTTTACACATAAAAGTGTCTCACGCACAATGTCCTAAGTACTAATTATTCGTGCAATGAAGCGTACGCACGGCTCTGTTCGCACTCAATTGTTCGTACAAAACTGTTCCTACGTTGTTATTGACATTCAAATAAAAAGCGGCCGAATAAATCACATCACAATCAATCAGTCAACATGCAATGTAAAGCAGACATCGTTGGGATCCTTGACATGACGGATTTCAAATTGGAAAGAAATTTTTCTGTAAGGAGTTGGGAGTCATAAAGGTCGGAGACTCTGAAGCCTCGTCGTTCTTTTTCGATATTGGCTTACACTGGAACGAGCTCAACGACAAAGACAAGAGAACGTGTAACTTCGTCCAGAAGAATATACATAGACTCCCGTTCGGAGTTCCACGGGGCACTAAAGCATTTCAAATTTCGGACTTGCAGGCAATTGTAGAGAATTTCTACCGTGAAATACAGATAGATTCGAACTCTACAATTGCCTTCAAAGGCGGACATTACGAAATGGATTTGCTGCCGAGTCACCGTATTCCGGCCGTAAATTTGGAATGCTTTAATTGTCCCAAAGCTGAAAAACTATTTGATCAATTGATCTGGTTAGAAACCTGTGGGAACCGTTTGGAAAGCAACGCTTATCAACACTGCGCAAAAGTGGAAGTCGAAGCCTTTGCGATGTGGCTGCAACAGTAAAGACAAACGCAAAACACCGGTTCTTTTAAGAACCATCAATTTTACAAAAAAGAATAAAAACGAAACTCGATTATTAACATGTTTACACTGAATCTCAAAGTTTACTTCTCAAATATTCCACATATGCCTATAATAATCTTCTTCATGACTTCTAAATTGCTCGCCTGTAGCTTTCACAGTATACTTAAAACTAGGGGGCATTGAAAAAAAAGAACATAGCCCCAGGTTCAAGTGGGTCATCACAACAATCCTTTTTGCAGTTAGAAATTTGGTCTAGAATACTCAGCATCTCACTGTTCTCCACACTCATCATTGATTTAACATACATGGGGTCTCTCCTCAATTGGTTCCAATATTCAAACACGTTTCCATCCCACTGAAGCTCTAAAACTTTGGTCACCTCAACAAACTTATTCCATACCACGTCTTTTTTGCTAACTCGCTCTATGGCTTCCAAATCATACATCTGCGATCTCTCCTCATACGAAAACATAAGACACTCACTCTGACTAAAGCGATTTAGTTTACAACCACAGCACCTCTCTTCGAAAAGCTCATAAACCTCGCAAGAGACAGTTTGTGCAAATATTGTCTCTAACAAATTGCATAGCTTCCGAAGTTCCATAGGCGAAACTTCGTCAACATTATTCGACCTTGAAGAACGCGTACTTGGTCAGGAGATGTGCAATACTAATAACTTACTGACCGAGAGTGAGGGCAGTACGGGAAAATATCCAACCGAGGTCTTGCTGTATTGACCGAGCGATAGCGAGTTCAATACAGCAAGACCGAGGTTGGATATTTTCCCGTACTGCCCGAACGGTCGAGGTCAGTAAGTTTTTTATTATATGGCATTGTACGTTTGTAAAAAATGGGTAAAAATGGTCACGCGAGGGCAAAGTACAAAGTCCGAAACATTTGCAAAAAAGAATTGTAAAAAATGTCTCAAGCTTGGTTAGTAAAACTACTCTACAGCAATTTTTATATAGAATACTAACACAGTTGGATAGTATTTCAAGAAAAATACCAGGTATTTCGTCATTTAATCAAAGACAAAGACAACAAATATGAAAACAATAAAATTAATAAACAGTATGGACAAGTACGGTTTTAGTTCGCTTCATCTCATAAATATATCTCTTTTTATCGAAAAAACCCAGAAATTTTCAGGGAAAAAATCTAAGTCTGTGGCTGCTTTAGTTGTATTTTTTATTTAGGATGGTGTCAAATTCCTCGGCTATCTGCAAATAATATTTGCAGCTCTTCACAAAGTCAAAACACAGCTATTCCTGACTTCTTTAATAGTTATAAACATTGTAAAATTTACCTTGTAATTTCGACTTTCGCTAACAAAAACATATTGAGAAAGTTCTTTATCCAAAGAAGGTGCTCCTTTTCTTTAGTTTAGGTTTATTTTTCTTCGGTTTGAATAGTTTTGAAAGACTTTTAGACACTTTTTGCCGTTTGAAACTCGGATCTTGTGGCGGGGCAAAAAAATTGCGTATTGCCCCTGGGCAATACGGGAAAATCCTGCCTCGTCAGCAGCCAATCAAATTGCGCGATTCATCAAAACAAATGCTTGCCCTATAATAAAATTACATAATGCTTACTAAACTGGACGTACACTAAGTACGAACTCTTGGACGAACGCTTGGACGCACGTTAAGTACGTACACTAAGTACGAACGCCCGGACTTACACCCCCTGTTGACGTCATTCGCTTGAAGCACTTCCGGTGGTGGATGGGGAGGGCGGGGGGTTACCTGCTAAGGATAAAATTGCTCCGGCATAACGCCGCAGCAAAAAGAAATCACGATCCAACCCTAACCTAACCCTAACTTATCTAAAAAATCGAAAAGAATACGGAAACAGTATTTTGAAGTATAGCATATTCTTTCTTTTTGGGAAAAAACCCAGACTACGCTCACTTTTATCTAATACAGGGTGTATAAAAAAGATTATTCAACATTGACAGGAAATCGTGAGTGAATTATTAGGTTTATAGGTCTCCTGTTCTCGTATTTACAAAGATTAGGCTCGATGAGGCTTTGACATGTCAAATTAAATAACACATTTTTTTTCAAAGATCATTGCGATAAACTTGAGTAATGATTAAATACGATGCGCATGTTTTAAAGAGTCGTTTCTCATCTCATTTCGAACATTTGCTTAAGTATTTTCTGCCGGCACGAAAAAAATATCCAGCACTGCGAGTTCAGTCTGCAAACGTCTGTTTTGAAAATGTTTTAAACCACTTAATTTCGATGCATAAGAGAATGAAAATTTATCAAAACTCAATGTCAAGTATACTATCTAGCAATCATCAAGAAACAATGGACCATTGAAGAGACCATTATATATACAACTGATAGAACCATCCAGTGTCACAAAATTATATCGATTTAAATTGTGTTAAATTTTCCAATGGCATTGAACAAAATAGTGATACCCCTTATACAGGACCTGTAAGGAAAGAGGTTTGAAACTGCAGAGCTATTTTGTGTAGGCCTACGTATATCCCAAGTTTAGTTTACATTTTTAACCATTATTTACTAATTTATTTCTAACAAAATTGTATTTCACAGGAAGAAAACCGCAATTTGAATGCAAAACTGGTTGTCTTTGAAAACAAACTCGCACGAGAAAGCAAAATCAGTACTCAAATCGTCTCAACCAATGGCGAGACGGAAAGCTCTCGGGACGGAAACGGATTCTCCGACAAGTGCCACAGGAAATCATCGGCCTCTGCCGAGAGCATCGCGAGTAGTGAACATGCCGTGTTTACGCGAGAGGATAACAGTGGGAGTTTAATTAACGAGAACACTGAAAGTGCAGGAAAACAAGAAACATCTTTGGCAGTTCCGCAACAGAACAGCGTTTCTGAGTGAGAAATGTCGACGGTTATGCCAATTTTGAAAGAATCCACGTCAGCCTCCTAACGTGTATTCAAATACACATCATTTGTATACTTGAAAACTGAATGTGATTGTTGTTTTGAATATTGTATAGTAATAAACAGCAGGCTTTTGGTTTTAAAGGTATTATGCTATCAAAGCATGAGTAAACTTTGTAATGTGAAGATTAAAAAAAAATTGAGTTCTCAAAGTTTTCCCGTTTCCGCATTCTCGAAAACGTTTTTGCGGAAACAAAAAGTTTCTTACAAATTAAAAAACATTTTGCATCGCAAGCTAGGTTCTTTTAAGATTTGCTCTAGGTACAGGGTGTATCAAAATAAGGGGGATAGTCTATATGGCGCGGGTCGCGAGTCAATAGAAATGGTTCGGGTCCAGCGAAAATGGCGCTGGTAATAAGTTCCGAGGCGCCGGTAACAAGTTCTGAGATCAATTGCCTGGCACTTATATTCAAGAAGGGGGCTATTTTGACTAAAAATTCTGCAATTATTCCATCAAATATTGTCTCATTCTGTGGAAACTCTGCGAACTTTAAACTTAAACTAACAGACATCAATTAAGTTAAGTAAATCACGTTTGGAAGCGTTATACTCAGCATAGTTTTAAACACAAAGCGAGTGGACAGTTGATATATTTGGACGGAGTCTGTCACTGTCGGTACACTGTAAATTAAAAAGGGCTGAAACGACGCCAAAGATGGGGCCAAAACGTTGACCGCAAAATAGATCTTTTTTGGGGGTCAAAATGGCACCTATAACAATGCGGCCCCTAAGGTGTGATTTGGCCCTTCCAGTGTAAGGGCTGTTTCAGCTTTTAGTAGGAGCTGTTTTGGCAAAAGCAGGGGCTATTTCAACTTTCAATAGGGGTCAATTCAGAAAATTAGGGGGCTATTTTGGCATTTCAAGGAGTTAATTTGGCTCCCATTTGTGGTCATAATGAACCCCAAAAAGCGTTGATTTGGCTTGCTAAGCGGAGCTGTTTTGGCTACTGAATTACTGAGTAGTTTCAGCCGCAATGAAGAGCTGCTTTAGAACCGAAGGAGCCGATATAGCTTTTCTAATAGTGTAGTTTTTTAGCACCCAAAGGGCCAATATGGTTCTATTTCTAAGCCATTATAGACCACAAGAAAGGCCAATTTAACCCCTACTTTTTTAACCAGAGCTATTTTGGCCCTCCCAGAAGAGCACAGTTTCAGCCCCAAAGAAGAGCTGCTTTAAAGCCGAAGGAGCTAATATAGCTTTTTTCATGGTGTAGTTTGTAGCACCCAAAGGTGTCAATTTGGTCTAATTTCAGAGCCATTATAGATCCAAAAGAAAAGCCAATTTAACCCCTACTTTGTTACCGGAGCTGTTCTGGCCCTTTCAGAGGAGAGCTGTCTCAGCACCAATGAAGAGGTGTTTTAGAACCGATTGAGCTGATATAGCTTTTTGGTGGTGCCGTTTTATATAGCATTTAAAGTCATGTGCATGATTTGGTTGCACTTTTGCATGTAGACGTATTCTACATGTATATAATGAATCAGGCAAAAATAATGGGGTTTATTTGGTCTTATTACAATTTCTCCAACAGACCAAGATTGGAATTAATTATTGTAATATAAGTTGAGATAAATAATGTTCCAATTTCTGTATTATAAACACAATACTATAACTAAAATTACAATACACATGCACAGTAGTCAGTATTATGTATCTCACCGAAATGTGGGAACCATCAAAAGATTCGTACATATATGCCATATGGCTCCGAAAGTTTACAATTCTAATTTTAAAGAGCAATCAACTTGTGATAGCAATGGCAGGCGCGGTTGTTAACGTGAACGCAATACGAATAATTTCTAATACATTACCACAGTTCGGTGAGATGTGAGACAATACACACATTCCATCAATAACATTAACTTGGGTTAGCATATGTCAACATAACTCTCAAAAAGTGTAAAATTACTGTAGTACTAATATTCACGAGTCATGACAAGTCATTGAAGAGGGCTGTGACCCTCATTAGTGAGCTTAAGCAAGTGACGTTTTTGACAGCACGGAGGGCATGAGCAACGTCAGAAGACTGGGTCAAGGGCTGCGATTGGTGAAAAACGTTGTCAAAAACGTCACTTGCTTAAACTCACTATTGGCAGTTGTATGCCATTTTCTGTGTTGGCCATGCACTACTATAGTCTGCAAGGCAGACAAGATGCTCTTCGTGTGGCAGTACTCAATATTGAAGATGTAAAAACTTGCCAAAAAGGCGATAATTGCATCAAAACAACTGTTGCTTGTTATGGAACGTTCATCCTTTCTCTCGATAACGTATGATTGACAGTTTCTATTCGTATTCTAGTTCGCTGCCAGCGGCCACAATATGGGTTGTGATAAGTTTGAAATTGTATCATTTGCATCTTTGGACTCCTACAAAAAAATACAATTAGAATGTATGCAATAATCCGCAATTACAGAGGGTTATAGGACACATAAGATGTAAGGTCTCACCAAGAAACCCAATAATAAAGCTCTTACATACATCAGACACAAAATACCTGAAAAAGTATATCACACCTGACCCCTATAACCCTTCCAAAAGCATTAAGTATAACATACCAATATACAGTAATATTTTGAAATATCAAAATATATGCTGCGTAGGCCTACTCTGGGGCGGTAAATCGCCTTAGATCGCCGTGATATAATGCGATTTTAGGCGATTTAAGGAAAAACTGGGACTTTCAAGCACTGCGATTTAATGCGATTTTAGGCGATTTAAGGTAATTTAGGAGAAAATTCTAAATTTTGGGATTGCAATTTAGGTGTTTTCAAGGTAATTGAATTTATTTTTTTGCTCCGTTTCCTCCCACAGGCCAAAATTGGCAGGGTGGGTTAGAATAAACACGGTTAGGAAAGTAATATCATATTCTCATTGTTGTAAAGATAAATAGTCCAGACTAACATAAGTATCCTAATACTTGATGTAATCGGTCACTAAAAAGCCCCAATGGGGAATGAGCTGAATAATAATGTAATGTTTCCACACACATATAGGAACTTATTGCTACAGCGATAAGAGTTTTTATTGCTTCCCGGAATAATTTATAGTTGAAATTAATTATGCGAAATAAGTTAGTTGCGCGCGCAAGTTAATCTAAGTGTAGTCACGCGACTGGAAATTTCGGTATTTATCAGTGGTGAAGCGGGCCATCTTTCCTTTCCTATTCCATATGGGCTGCAGTTCACATCAAGAAATTGGATGGAAGAGAATTATCTTCTGTATGAAGCAAAATACAATTATTAGAACATGTATGCACATTTTATATAAAGCTAGGTTAATAATTATTTTAACCCAATATTCTCATCCATTGTCTGTTTAGAAGCCATTGGAGTTCATCCTATGGGGTTATGTGGTCATTCATGGTAATATTGTAAACAGTTAATAAATATACTCTACTTAAGGGGCATGTACGGTACATAATTGCAATATGCCAACCTATAACTAAACTACACATGTCTTAAACTTTAATATTATTAATTGCAAAATATAATTGATATTTGATTTCCAAAAGAACCACAGCCCACAGGGAGTAGAAACGCACAATGTATTTATACAGTCACAATAAGCTATAATCCTACAAATTACCTTGTCACCCTTGTAAGTGAAATTTTCTTGTTTTGTAACTTGTTAACACTTCTTTATTTAGCTAGCATTTTATTTAAACTGTTTCAACACTCATGTTTTATAAAATTATGTTTGATATCTATATCCGGAAACAGTATCGTCACGCATTCGGAAACTGTCGGCGTAATGCCGTAAAGTTTAATTTACATGAAGTATATCGCATATAAATGGTAGGAATTCTAAATTATTTTAAAAAATTACTAAAGAAAATGATATTAAACAAATGGCACACCGCGCACTACATCGTGGTTTTAAGTCTTTTACCTGATAATTTGTCAAGTGTTCTGCAAACAAACAACAACAAAGATTGTATGGTATGTACGATGTAATCATTGTTTTACTGTTTATTTTATATACAGGTCTGGAAAATTTAATAGATGAGAGTTGCAAAACTTGCAAATCTCGCTCATAACCTCACGTATTTTTTTTCGTTTGATAGCCAGTATAATTATAGCTAAGAGCTAGAGTATAACCGTGCACATGTCGAAGTACAACCATTGTATACAATGCAGTGCTCGATCTACATGCAACAGTGCACAAATTGCAGGATGACCTTATTATATACTCGTACTCATTAACTCTCATTATCATAGTCTCCTACTGTTGTTCTAACAGCAATTAGGCTTTGAGAAACCATGTATATTATAGATTAATTTGTAGCCCAGCCCCCATAGTCCATATAAATTGTAGCCCAGCCTCCACATTTTACAACAATAATGAAATTAACTAGTAACTCAGTTTTGTTGCTGGTAGTGTAATGGAATATATGGGTCTTTTATATCCCAGATTTCCTAATTATTGTAAAGTCTGCATAAAGCAAAAAAAAGTTCTGTGTTTATTAATGACCGGAGCCTATCGAGTGACTAAATATTGTCAGCATAATCCACTTATTTGATCTATCCATGTTGGATTACTTTTGACTGCAAAGCACCTGGATTACATGATTTGCCAGCAAAATAGCAGCAATTGATAAGCTTGTGTACGTAGACTGAATATATCAAACAGAATGCATGTTGGCGAGTTAATGCGATTTTGGGCGATTTTAGGCGATTTAAGGCGATTTACCGCCCCAGAGTAGGCCTCTGCCTCTCAACAAACTCTCCTAAAAATAAGCACACTATAAGCACACAAATATTATTCAAATTTACAGAATACTGTATCATAATAAAAATAAATACAAAATTGGAAACATGAATTTCCATAGCCTGGTACAAGTGATTCAGGGAGACTGCATAAAAACATAATACATGACATACATATAACTATACAATCTTATTTAACCCATTAAGCACCAGGGCTCTCCCCTTTACGAGTAGAATAGGCGTTCGACAGAGTAGAGTAATAAAGTTCAAAATCATTTTGTTTGAATTACTTCACCTATCTATTTGTCTAAAATTATGTATGGTAGATTCTGTGGTATGAACACTTGCAAAATTACTCAAAAAAATTTAAAATATAATGTGACATTATGTTGCCTTGAAAACACTTGACACAACGTGAGCCTTTGTTCAGTGCTGGCCAATTGCTAATAGTTCATGTTAAATCAATGTTTGGAAAATATAGGCTAGGGGTTGCTGCATGCATTTATTTCTAGTTAAATATTAATTGGACATACTCATGTCACTAGTGGTATTCATTATATCTTGGTCAGACAAAACAAATTCCATATTTAAGAAGTTTGGCAACCCACAGGTTAAAATAGACATGTTGTGAATTATATCACAAACGATTAATAAATTTTTGCTGCAGCAAGCACAGATTTACCCGAAACATGTAACCTCATGGGTTTACACACCCCAAAACAACACTTTCCTAAAATGACAGCTTTCCTTCATCATTTAATTTTATAACTGGACTTAGCTGATCTGTTCTTATAGTTTTTATATTTTTAGACTTTTCGTTATTCAAGTTTGAAATGAGACCAAGATTGGTAGCGTTGAATTTTGACAATTTAAGAGAATGTAGTTCTGCATTACTGTTTTTCTCTGTATCTCATCCTTAATAAGCCTACCATTTTTAAATTTCAAATGTACAACAGATACTTTGGGCTATTTATTGCCTCTTTCTTTCCTCTTCTGTATATTAATAGTTTTTCTTTGGAAAATATCAGTAATCATATTTCTAATCTGTACAGTTCTGTTCCTACACAACATCTTCGCACCCACACATCGTGTTTAGGACTGAAGTTCCAGATCATAGAAATGCTCTGGCAACAGCCCTGCAGGTTCCCAAAGAGTGTATAGCCCATGTATATCATAGTACAAACCATAGAAATAAAATTAAAACAATATATTTCCATTTCAAATGCATTAATGTACAATAACTAGGGAATTTTATGTAAAGTGCAATACTACATTCTCTTCGATTGACTTGAATATGTTTTTGGCTAGCATTTATTTGATGTAGCTACAACAAATCCACTACGTTTCAATGGATATAGTCACATAGCATCTCCCTATTTGAAATAAGCCATAAGGCATTATATTTGGTATTTTAATATCTTAATTATTACAGAAATGATTGCACAAGTCATGAGTTTTGACAAATGTTGATCTATATTTTCAATATTAACCCCATTAAGCACTAGCGTTCTCCTCCCGAGACAGACTAAAAAAAATAAAGTAGGCCGCAATGCGTTAACTATAAACATGGGCAAATAGGCCAGTTAACCCATTAAGCACCAGCGCCCTTACCTTGACGAGTAAAATCATCTGGTGTTAGACAGAGTAAAATAATAAATTAGGGCACAATGCGACTCAATGTGTTAACAACACACATGGGCAGATAGGCCAGTTAACCAATTAAGTACTGGTGGTCTCCCCTTAATGAGTGAAATTGTCTGGCAGTAGAAAGAGTAAAATAATAAATTAGGGCGCAATGCGATTCAATGGGTTAACTAGACACATGGGCAGATAGGCCAGTTAACACATTAAGCGCCAGCGCTCTGCCCTTAATGAGTAAAATTGTCCTGCGATAGGCAGAGTAAAATAATAAATTAGGGCGCATTAGGGGACAATGCGACTCAATGGGTTAACTGTAAACATGGGCAGATAGGCTAGTTAACACATTAACCGCCAGTGCTCTCCCCTTGGTGAGTAAAATTGGCTAGCGTTAGATAACCAGAGTAAAATAATAAATACTTAGTGCGCATCAGGGCGCAATGCGACTCATTGGCTTATTAACATCAACAATGTTTCAAATGTCAAATCTGCCATACTCAATATAATCATTGATTCGACTATTAATTTGACATGTAAGTCAGATGTCCTGTATACAACAACAACATCAATATACAGTATACTATTAATTAATTAATCAATCAGCCACAAAATTGTCAATCGTGTATTATTCTCGGCCTAAAAGCTAAACCTATTAATCCTAGTTGGTGTTTAGTTTGGCTTTTGCTGCTACTGAAACGACTTTTATATAATTATATCATTACAGCCCGGAATTACAGTGGGTTCTGCATAAGATTTTATCTGGATTCGATGTTTCACTATTTAGTATCGAATAAAATCAACAAATAATTATGGATCAAGCGAGGATGAGAGTATTTTAATTAGGTTGAAACATAGTTGGAACACTCATCAAAGCTTTAATAATATTTTGTTCATGTGGAACTTGAAATGTCCTTTGTGTATTTATAAGCAATTCATGCATGACTTCCATCCTCATTTGACCGAGGCTATAATCTAAAATACCAGTTTAAAAACTTACATTATCAAATGAACCAGTGTTGCCAGTATGCCCGATTCAGGAGATGATTCTTGATTGGGAAAAGTTAAACTAGACTGGGCTACTAGCAAGTGATATGTCGCAGGATTTGAGCTAGTAGTGAACTGGATATTTCAATGTTGTTTGCACTTTTTTCATTGTCGCTGTCACTTTCAACTAGAACCTACATATACAAAAAATAAATAATCTTACATTAAAACGTGTTTCGTATCGTAAACGTGAAGCTATAAGAACATATTTTGAATAATTGATGTCCGCTGTCGTGATTTGGCCATCAGCAAACAACAGTCCGAGGGGTTCGACACGACCACATGAAGCGTACGAGATTTCGAAATCACGCGATTTCGAACCTGATTTCTTGATTTCTAATCTGATTTCTGTTGATTTCTAAACGGATTTCTGTTGATTTATAATGCGATTTCTTGATTTCTAACGTGATTTCTAACGTGATTTCCTGATTTCTAACCCGATTTCCTGATTTCTGTGTGTTAGCGCTGTCATATACGATTGTGGGCTCAATAATAACGAAGTTTTAGTGATTTCTGATTTCAAAATTGACTAATTTCTCTCGTGATTTCTTGATTTCGGGTTTGATTTCAGTTGATTTCTGAGTCGAGTGTACGAGATTTCAGCCGTGTCGGACCCCTCGCAACAGTCTTCGACACGAAGGTGAAGAAAGTAAATAACATTTGCCAGAATTAGGCTAGTACAGCACGAGACGTTTCTTGAACGTATTTTCCTAATAAATTGTTTATTTGTCCAAAATATACTGCAACGAACGAGGTTTTACGCTTGTATTTTATCCGTATCGCTCGTCGAAGCAAATCCCAACGGCCAACGTTCGATAATGGCGCCAAAAGTTAGTACGCATGCTCGAGAATGATCGCAAACCCGATTGCTTACGGGCGCGTGCATTCTCGTTCCCAGTTCCCGCGATCATTAATATTACGCCTAGGCCTTCAATTCTCGTGATTAATTTTTACAAATACCGTATTTATATTTACGATAAAATTACTAAAAATCTGGAAAACAAATTTCAATACCCTTCAAAATGAAACATCAAATCTCACCTTGTATAATCCAAAAAACGTCCTCTTGTTTTTCTTTGCGACTGCGAGCATGTGCATTCTTTAATTAAGTTTTATGCGGAAGTTAATTTGATACGATCATACGACGGACGATCGACACAATTAAGAGTCGATTTGACAGAAGGGTCGATTTGACAGAATTAAGACTGTCGATTTGACGGAAGGGTCGATTTGACACAATATTAGTAGTCGATTTGACACAATTAAGAGTCGATTTGACAGAAGAGTCGAATTGACACATTTACGAGTCGATTTGACAAAAGGGTCAATTTGACACAATTAAGAGTCGATTTGACAGAAGGGTCGATTTGACACATGTAAGAGTCGATTTGACAGAAGGGTCGATTTGACAGAAGGGTCGTTTCGACAAAAGGGTCGATTCCATTCCAGGGTCGATTTGAAATATGCGAGAGTCGTTCCGCGATGGAGAGCCGAACCGAAGCTCATAGGGGCCAAAGTGTTGATCAAAAGCGGCCCCCTTTATGTGGGGCCAAAACAAACCCAGACGTGAGAGTCGTTTTGGTCTGTGGGGCCATATTGGCAATTGATGGGGCTAAATTGGAAAATGATGGGTCCGTTACGGCAAAGGATAGGGCCAATTTGGCTTTCCTCCATACCTAAAATAGCTTCGTCGGTGCAGATCCAGCTCTCCAATGCCAAAACGGCTTTCACATAGGGCCAAAATAGCTTTGGCCCCAAAAGGGCTGAAACGGAATTTGGGGTCGATTTGGCCCTTTTTAATTTACAGTGTATATACTTATATTATTATACTCTTAAATATTAGTCTGTTAATTAAGGTTAAAAGATAATTTAGTCTAAATTCTCTATATAATTTTGGTTAGATAACTCCCACAATATTCTTATCATTTTTACAGCTTAAAAATTATAGTTATTTATACCAGTAAGCAGTATCATAAAGTTAATAATTTATGATTGCCTGATTTTATTCAGATATCATGACATTTTTATTAATTTAATTATATGATCTGCAACTTCTTCATCTTCGCGTTGGTCCCTTTGCTTTCTCTTTCCGTCCTGCTGTCCAGTTCTTTGGCATGCTGTTGCGTATATCACTTGGACTGATAGGGTGTCGCACAATATTTCATAGATTTTATTATTATTATTTTTCATCTTAAAAACGGTGGCCCTTCAAGTTTAAACTGCTTTTCTAGGCCGTTAATTAAAATACTTACAACTATGAAATTTTATTACACATTAAATATATATATATATAAAAAGAAAGCCCAGTGAACACTATATATAACTTAAATTAAATCACATATATAACTAGAAATAGTATGTTATGTTAACCCTCCGAGACCCAAAAATTCCTCCTTCGAATCAAAATCTGCCCCACAAGAGGTTGTTACACACTATTCCTCATAATAGGGAAAATGCAAATTCTGGTTCGAAACATTTGTTGCAGCAGTTAACTTGTCTCAGGAGTTCATTTGTCTGGGTACATCCAACGGTTTTCGAATGTTTATATTGTAACCATTAATCATTGACATCATTGCAAAATGATGAAATTCAGCAAAGCAGACCAGTCCATCATTTTCGTAATGATAAATAGTTTAATAGTATACAAATAATGAGTGTTTCTTCGTGCAATGGTAAGAATATTTTCATGAGGTGAAAGATGGAATGTTCCATTCAACGAGGCGACAGCCGAGTTGAATGGAACATTCCATCTTTCACCGAGTGAAAATATTCTTACCATTGCACGAAGAAACACTCATTATTTGTTTTATATAATACCAAAAGTCCAGAACAGACTAATAGATTCGTATGAGAAGCATTTTGAGGGATGCGATTTATCTAAAACACAAAGAGTGCAATTGTACTATACGTTTTATTCAGGGCCGCCAAGAGGGGAGGGGGGGTGGCAAAGGGGGAAAATTGCCCGGGCCCCGAGTTGCTGGGGGCCCCTGAAAAATTTTTGTTGGGCCCCAGCCTTTTTTGTGTGTTAAATATTTCCGCGCAAAGGACAAGATATCTGTTTTCTTGGGCTAAGTCCCGAATTTTGGCATAAAATATGAGATAAAGTTCCTCGAAAGCAATTGCAACGTACTCGTCCGGAAAAATGTTTTACTCCGGAAAAAATTTAGATCGAGTTTCGACAACAAAATCACTTGGTGTCTTATTAGACGAAAATCTTACTTGGAGTAGTCATATCAATAAAATGACAAAACGAGTTGCTTCTGGTATCGGTGCTATTAAGCGGTTAAGGTAATTTGTTTCATTGGAAACATTGCATGTTATTTACCAAGCTCTAATACAACCACATTTTGATTATTGTAATGTCGTGTGGGGAAATTGGGGGAAAACTTTATCTAACAAACTTCAAAAACTTCAAAACCGTGCAATGCGGGTGTTGACCTTTTCCAACTTTGACGCCGATGCCAATAGCTTATTGGAAAAGCTAGGGTGGGATGATCTAAACCCACAACGCCAATTTCAAAAAGCATTGATGGTTTTCAAATCTTTAAATAACCTTGCACCCGAATATCTATGTTCTAAATTTACTAATCGCAATAATGTAACTTCTTATATACTTCGAGGCTCCGTGAACAAACTTGCTGCTCCTTTACCCCGCACCAATTATCTTAAAAATAGCTTTAGCTATAGTGGTGCAGTGTTATGGAACAGCTTACCTAGCAATATAAGACAAGCGGAATCTCTTACTGAATTTCGACAATTGTTGAAACATCATTCGATAGACACGGCATTCATGGAAAAAAGGTATAAATATTAATGTAACATAGGCGTGAAAATTTTTTAAACTTATTAATGTATAGATAACTTTTTTGTAAACCTGATGAAGCTACCGTGCTTAAATAAAGATTTGACTGACTGACTGACTGACTGACTGACTGACTGACTGACTTAGCTACAAAACTGCACAAGAACTTGACCGCATCAGACTTAATGCTAGCTCAATCAACACAACAACCGATGACTTGCATTCAAAAGACCAATCTACTTCACAGCGCTCTAAGTCAACTACACCTTCCACGAAGTTCAAACCAAAATGCTTGACAACCACCACCTCTGCCAATACCCATGTTCTCGTAAAACAGTATGAACACCTCTTCCAGGGTGTTGGCAAGATGCGTGATGTTGAAATAAAGCTCCACATCGATCCTAATGTTCCACCCATTGCACAACCAGAGAGAAGAATCCCTTTCAACCTGGGAAACAAAGTTGCCGAAGAATTAAAGCGACTTGAGGAAAATTATATTATCGAAGATGCAACGGGCCCAACACCATGCGTGAGCCCAATCGTTGCTGCACCAAAACCGAAAAATTCCAACGAAGTTCGTGAGTGCGTAGTCATGCGGCTTCCCAATCGCGCTATCCATCGCGAACGACACCCTTCACCTACAGTTGATGACATCATTCACTCACTTAATGGTGCCAAAAAAATCAGCAAGCTCGATCTGCGATCTGGATACCATCAACTCGTCCTTGCGCCAGAATCAAGACACATCACAACCTTTGCTACTCACAAGGGACTAAAACGATACAAGCGATTAAATTTTAACACTTCATCAGCCGCTGAAATTTTTCAACACACCATACAGCACGCCCTTGAAGGCATAAATGGCGTTTTGAACATTAGTGATGACATTATCATTTTTTGCAAAACAACAGCAGAACATGATAAAGCCCTGAAGGAAATTTTTCACCGCCTGAGTGACAAAGGACTAACTCTGACAAGTGTGTTTTTGAGAAGGAAAATCTTGATTTTTTTTGCTACACGTTCGGTCCAGCTGGCATGAAACATGATCCAAAAAAAGTCCTAGCAATACACGATGCCACCCCACCAACCAACACAGCAGAACTGCGTAGTTTCCTCGGTATACTTAACTATGTCTCCCATTTTATCTATGACTTCTCCACCATCACAGCCCCACTTCGTGCTCTGACTCGCCACGGAAACAAATGGCAATGGACGAAACAACATCAGCATGCTTTTGACGAGTTAAAACGTCGCCTCACAACTAGTCCTACAATGGCATATTTCGATCCTGCCAAGGACACTGAGCTTGTTGTCGATGCTAGCCCTGTGGGCCTGGGTTCAATTTTAACCCAGAAAACTAGTGACAGTGGGACAAATATTGTGGCATATGCTAGTCGCTGTCCTGTCGCCTGTCGAACAAAGATATTGACAAACTGAGCGTGAAGCTCTAGCCTGTGTATGGGGATGCGAGAAATTCCATCTTTATGTATATGGTGGACCATTCACACTGATCACTGACCATAAGCCACGCATCCACATCTTCAACAACCCGAAAGCGAAGCCTCCTGCTCGACTCGAACGTTGGAATCTTCGATTACGACCTTACAATGCTATGAACCTGGCAAAACTAATCCTGCCAACTACATATCTCGCCATTCATTACAAAACCAACCGTTGCGTGAGCGTAACATTGCAGAAGAATATGTGTCCCTTCTTACAACATCCGCAGTTCCAATTGCAATGACACTAGCTGAAATCCAGGATGCCACATTAAAGGATCCAACCCTACAAAAGCTTGCTGAAATTATTCGATCCCAACAATGGCACTCAGTCCTCGATACAAATAATTCCTGTCCTAATAACAAAGACAAGTACAATTTGAGAGATCTCAAAGCTTTCCACAAAATTCGTCACGAGTTGACTGTTACTACAAACAATGATATTATCCTCAGAGGTTTTCGCATTGTGATGCCCACTACCCTGCGCCGCCGATCTCTTGAACTAGCCCATGAAGGACATGAAGGGCTTATCAAGACAAAACGATTACTTCGCGAAAAGATATGGTTCCCTCGCATTGATCAACAAGCAGAAGAAATGATAAAGCACTGCCTTCCTTGCCAAGCTGCAAATCCTGAAAGCAAGTTAGAACCGATTAAAATGTCACCCCTACCATTGGGCCCCTGGCAAAATGTTGCTGCAGATTTCTATGGTCCACTCCCCACTGGACAAACCCTCATGGTTATTATTGATGAATATTCGCGTTTCGTAGAAGTTGAAATCGTCTCCTCCACCTCTGCTGCAGCTGCTATACCCAAACTTGACAAAATTTTTGCAACCCACGGCATCCCAGACCTTTTAAAAACCGACAACGGTCCACCATTTACCAGCCACGCGTTCAAAGTCTTTGCCACAGAACTGGGTTTTAAACACCGGAAGATCACACCGTTATGGCCATATGCCAACGCAGAGGCTGAACGTTTCATGCGTACCCTGGGAAAAGCCATTCGCACTGCATGAACTGAACAAAAAAATTGGGAGGAAGAGCTTCAAAAATTCTTGGGAAATTATCGTTCCACACCTCAGTCGAGCACAGGAATATCACCAGCCGAGTTACTGATGGGTCGCCAGATCAAAACCAAACTCCCTGAAATGCCCACCTTACACCCCACTCAACCTGCAATCGCCACTAAGGATTCTGCTGCTAAACGCAAGATGAAATACCATGCAGACAAACGAAGTTATGCTAAACCAAATAAATTCTCTGTTGGAGATCTAGTTCTACCCAGGCAGGAACAGAAGAAAAAATTTACCACACCATTCCGAGCTGAACCGTTTCGAATCACCGAAATAAACGGGTCCATGATCACAGCGACGTCAAAAGATCAAACCATCACTCGAAACTCGTCTCATTTTAAACTTTTGCCCTCAGATATGGAATTGTCCGAACCAAGCGCGCCAAAAGAAAGAGATGAGGGAGGA